TCTATTGGTTAGAAAGGAACCACATGCACACACGGTCCCACCACCCCCATCCTTTTCTCCATATTCTACTGGTTAGAAAGGAACCACATGCACACACGGTCCTACCACCCCATCCTTTTCTCCATATTCTATTGGTTAGAAAGGAACCACATGCACACATGGTCCCACCACCCCCATCCTTTTCTCCATAGTCTACTGGTTAGAACAAGTCTCAGGTCCTATCTACACCCCAGAGGGCATCAGGCAAGGTTTTGAGCAGCATGGTGCAAAGTAATGACTCTCTGTTGTTTTAAGCCTCTGACTTTGTGGCGATTTATTACAGTGGCAATAGAAAACTAATACATCACATATTTTGATAAAGGGCTTATGTTCGGAACATATAAGGAACTCTTGGCACCAAGTAAAAAGAAAGCAAACCATCTAATTAAAAAGAAAATCCTCGATTGGAAGAGATACTTCACCAAAGAAGATGTGCAGCCAGCAAATGAGCACATGAAAACTTGCTCAGCACGATTCATCACAAGGAAAATACCCAGGACAGCCCCGGGAGACGCCGCCAGGAACCCGGGAAAACGGCTAAACCTAGAAGGGCCGATTGTTCCAAGTACTGAAGAGGGTCAGGAGAATCCAGGCCCTGCTCACCCTGCCGGGTAGAATAGTGCAGCCACTTGGGAAAACTGCTTTGCAATTTCAAAAGAAATTTAATACACACCTACCAGTATGATCCAGTCATTTCCGCTCCTGGATGTTTACCCAAGGGAAATAAAAACATACATTCACATAAAGTGTGTGCACAAGCGTTCCTAGCCGTACGCCTTGACATGGCCCCATCCACAGCCAGGTGGATAGACAACTGGCAACTTTAATCTATCCGTGCGATTGGATGTTACTCAGCAGTAACCGAGACGAGCTCTGGATACACACCATGACGTGGACGCATCTCCAAGTGAGCGCGCTGAGGGAAAGAGACAGCAGAGTGGATAGTACTGGACAGCAGAGTGGATAGTACAGGATTTCAGAAAAAAATCTCAGAAAAAGCAGGCTGATCCATAGTGACAGAGATCAGATGTTGCCTGGGGACACAAAAGCCAGCAGGGAGGCTGAACTGCAAAGGGGCATAAGGAAATTTGGGGGAACAATTTGTCAACTGTCTTGATCATGGTGATGGTGTCCCAGGCATGTCTTCTGTGAAAACTACTCAATCCATACACTTCAAAGGCATGCACTTTGCTATGTGACAAGGACGCCTTCGTGACCCTGCATGGCCCAGAGCGGGAACTCCCCAGCTGCTCCTGCCTGGTCCAGGCCACCTGCTGCTGATGCTCATCCCCCCCACCCCCAGCACCTGATCCCTCCCCAGGCAGGAGCCTCATGTGCACCCTTCACAGCCCCCATGGTCCTGCAGGATCTGGGGGACCCTGGAGCCAGAGGGAGGGAAAGAAAGCCAGCCTGGGTGTGAGTTCGGTTTGCAGTTGCCCTCGAGTAACCCCACCCCTCTCTGCTTCCCGCCTGCTTCCCCTGGTTGACTTCACAATGTAATCAGGCAGGCAGGAACCCCTTAGTATCAGGGGTGTGGTGCCCCTCAAACTGCAAAGCTAGAGAGGACACAGGGGTGATAAGATATAGTGGCCCTCAGCCAGGATGTGGTTGGCCATCCCAGACACCACAGACAAAAACTATTCCAAGTGGCGGACCCTCGTGAAGCTGTAAGACCTGCTGTCAGCGCTGACTCTGGAGCCGCACTCTACCTGATTTGGATCACAAATTCTGAATGGACTAGAGGACAGTGACAGTAGTCACCACACCCAGCCCTGCCCGTCAGGGTATTTTGTGGGACTCAAATGATAAGTGAAAAGCACACCATAAAACAAGACTCAGGGGTCCCTGGGGTGAGGATGAGGTGGGGCTCCTGGACACCCTCTTGTCCTCGTGTTCCCAGGCCTAGAATTGGCCTTGGTGGCCGTGAGAGCCAGCCCCCTACCAGCCCAGAGACCCCCGTGACTGTCAGAAGGGGGGTGTGCAGGACCCCCGGCTTCCCCTCCTTGGGGAGCACAAGGTGGGGTCCGATGTCTCCCACGCAGACCTGAAGGCAGCAGAATTCGGGCAGCTGCATCTGGTGACCCACGCTGGGCTGGGCTGGGAGGTTTACCAAGTGCTACCTCCACGTTAACACCTCAGGCCAGCTTGGCCCTGGGAGGGAAGACCCCAGCTCAGTTTTGTGGGGAGCTGTCTGAGGGTGAGGAGCTACCCACAGGGAAGTCCCAGAGTGGACACGCAGGGGCACCAGAATCCTCACTGGCCTGTCCTCCCAGGCCTAGGCAAGTCTATTCCACCAGGGCTTTGGTGGGGACCCCCTCCTGCAGCAGCCCCATGCCCCTGTGGGCTGGGGTGTCTCGTAGACAGTGGAGCTCAGGAAAGGCATTCCTGAGGGGCCTGTTCCACGAACATGTCGGCCTGCACCTGAGGACAGAGCCGTACCTCATCTGAGTCCCCCGCACATTTTAACACAGCCACAGCCCCTCAGAGGTCTTTGCTAGAGGCTCCAGTCTCTCTGTAGGTCACAGGCTGAGAAACGTTGCCCTGGGGAACACAGGACCCACCTCGATTTCCAAGAGTGGAACTGAGCAGAGAAAAGGCAGAGGATGCTGGGGGTTCAAACAGAGAGAAGGATGGGAAGGCCGAGGCCTGGAGGAAGTGGGGCATCCTGAGGAAAGGGGGCACAGCCCTCGCCTGGGCAGGGACTGCCACGCCTTCCCTCATGCTCGAGACCCTGGTCTTGCAGGGCAGGAAAGGTGTCCCTACCCACTCCACAGTTCTGCAGGCACAGCCCTCCGGCAACTTCCAGGAGGACGCTCTGCGGGAACCTTTCTTTCCCTCTCCTGAATCAAGGCAGCCATCTGCCTTGCCCAATCTTTGTTTACTATGAATGTGGGACCCACAGGCACCCAGTTACCCTCAGTGTGATGAGCGAGTGAAGAGAGTTTCTTGAGTGCGTCCCAGGGGACCCAGGAGGGTGGGTGATGGGAAGCCCGGGCACTGTGGGTTAGTGGGTATAGCTGGGCAGGCACAGAGCGGGGACAGGCACGGCCATCTCTGAGCGCAGGGCCCACAGACACTTTCTGTAAAGGGCTGACTGAGACTCGCTGCAGGAGCCGCAGGCCAGGTGGTCTCTGTTCCCACTGAGACTCGCTGCAGGAGCCGCAGGACAGGTGGCCTCTGTTCCCACTGAGACTCGCTGCGGGAGCCGCAGGCCAGGTGGCCTCTGTTCCCACTGAGACTCGCTGCGGGAGCCGCAGGCCAG